ATTCGGAGGCTCCGAGTAGTGTTAAAGATATATATAAAGGTCAAATTTATAGTCCTTGGTATTTATGCCCCCATATATCTCTTCGAGGGGTACGCCAAGAGCGTACCTAAGCTTTATAGAAGAAGAAGGATATAATTACAAGAGGAGTTCTTGAGGCTCACACCACACGCTGGTGTAACCAAAACACACACCTACTCCCAAAGTACTCTACTACTCACACAACTGTTGAACACTCTGGGCACCTGCCGCTAGCCATAGTCTTAGCTCCTGATGAATCCTAGTCGATAGCTCCCATTCATTGATAATGTCTCTACCTCTGAAGACTCGTCCGTTGCGTTGTTTCCAAATACTCCAACAGATCAACATGACTAGAGAATCAAACCCCTTCCTGATCCCTTTGGCATGCGTTTTCGGGATCTCGGCCACCAATCTTGCAGCTGCTCAGACACCAAAGGTAGAAGCTGCATATCTAAGTTGGCCCACCTAAAACATTGGAACCACAGTTGCCTCGAATAGACACACTGCAACATAATATGCTCAACAGAATCCTCTTCCTGATCACACAGATAATAGACCGAAGTGGCATCTTGCAATCCATGCCGAAACCTTCTATCCGATGTCCATAGTCTACGCTGCAACGCCAACCAGCAACCACATGAACAAACAGCATGCCAGGGGGCCCAACACTTCCACAGTCCCTTCGCATAGCCAAAAATGATGGCCCCCTCATTCATGATCCGGTAGGCCGAGCCCGCCGAGTATTGGCCCGAGGCAGTCCACTTCCAGATTGCCTGATCTCTCACACTAGCGTCCAAGATTAGCTCGCTGAGTATCTCCCGGAGACGTATGAACTGCACCAATCCTTCAGTGGATAGCTCCCCTTTAATATCATTGATCCAATTGCTTAAGAGGAGTCCTTCCCTCGCCGTTCTCCTGTTAACTATCTGAGTCCTTACCTTCCCGAACACCAGCGGAGCAATCTCGGCAATCCTCAATCCACTAACCCATCTATCCTTCCAGAAGAGCACTCGGTTCCCATCTCCAATTTTCCAATGAACCAAACTTGCAAAAGCCGTTTGCATCTCCTTGTCAATGGACATGGCCAGGCCCTGCCATGGTTTTGAGGGATCTGTACGCCTGAGCCATTCCCATCTAAGACGGAGAGCGATCCCCTGTGTTCTAAGATCAATGACGCCCAACCCTCCCAGCTCCTTCGGTCTACAGACCTCTTCCAAGCCACCAAACATTTGCCCCCATGTATCTCTTCCGAGCCAGCCCAAAAGAAAGCCTTACAACCTCTGTCAATGCTATCCAGCACCCATTTCGGCGCATCTGCCACAATCAGATGGTGAATTGGCCGCGCCCTCACCACGCTGTTGACAAGAATCAGTCTGCCCGGCCTGGTAATCATACCTCTCATCCATCCTGGCAAGAAGTTTAGCACCCCATCTACCAGCGGCTGCCATTGATTACGTGTAAGCTGCTTGATGGAAAGTTGTAGCCCAAGATATTTGCACGGGAAGCACTGAATCTTCCAAGGCAGGGCCACTGCAACCCTCTCCTTGTCGCCCTCTCCAGGTCTAATAAGAATCACCGAAGACTTTTGGTAGTTGATTTTCAGACCCGATGCTTCCCCAAAGATATGCATCCCCTCCTTCACAAAGGCCAGATCCAATGCAGTCGGCCTGATAAAAGGACCACATCGTCCGCGTAGATAGATAACCGCATAGCGGCAAACACCCGGGCATCGGACTAAGCACTCCCAATTGCTGAGCACGAATGATAAGGGCCGAGAGCGCATCCATAGCAATCACGAAAAGGAGTGGCGAAATTGGATCGCCCTGCCTCAGACCACAAGCGTGCATAATTTTTGCTCCCACACTGCCATTTACTATCACTCTTGAACTTGCCGTTGAAAGCAGCATAGCAATGAGCTCTCTCCATCGCACCGAAAAACCCTTAGCACGGAGCACCTCAAAGAGAAAAGGCCAAGAGAGTGAATCAAATGCTCTCGAGATATCCATCATAACCAGGACGACTTTAGCTTTCCTCTTGTGCAAGTTCCTCGCCACTTGGCGCACCAGCATGAAATTATCATGGATGCATCTGCCCTTAATGAACGCAGATTGATTCATGTGCACCAGCTCTCCCATCCGACCACTCAACTTGCCCGCTAACAATTTAGCACTGATTTTGGGTATACTATGTAGCAGGCTAATTGGCCTGAAGTCCCCAATCTTCGAGGCATCCGTTTTTTGGGATACGAGTGATCAATGCCTTGTTCAGCCTGCCAAACCCTCTCCCATCGCCAAGCAGGAACTTGTCAATGGCTGCAACAACATCATTTTTGATGATAGCCCAAGCTTTGTGGAAAAACAGACCAATGAATCCGTCAGGTCCTGGTGCCCTGTCCCCTGGCATGGCTTTGATAGCATCCCAGATTTCCTCCTCTGAAAATATGACATCTTGGTCCGAAAGATCAAGGGATTCCATATTCAGGAACTGCATGTCCAGGGTGACATCCCTTGCTCGGGCTCTGCCCAGAAGGTCCTCATAGGCCTGGTGGAAGGCCTCCTCTTTCCCCTTCTGGTCAGTAATGATATGGCCACCATAGGAGATCGCTGGTATGTGATTTTTGGCCTCTCATTAGTTCACTCGTAGCAAAATCTGCTCTCATCATATTTTCTAGGAAAGAACACTACCTTCTTGTGGTGAGTTTAGCCATTGATCTCCAACCCCCTACTTTCTTTCCACTCCTACATCTTCAATCCAAAGACATATACTGAGAGAGTCTTGAATGTGTAAATTATAAAAAAATGGTTATGAATTTTAACAAAAACTTTATGGATTTTAAAAGTTTGCGGGTTCAAAAACTGTTAATGAGCCTGAAAAAATCTGCACAAAATTTTAAAATTGTTCATGAGTTTTAGAAAATCGTTCACAAAATGAAAAAAAACATTTATGAACTTGAAGGTATTCACAAATTTAAAGTATCTTTTTGAATTTTAACAAAATATTCATAAGTTTTAAAAAGAAAATAAATATAAGAAAACATGAAGTGAAAAATTGAAAATAAAAATAGAGATAAAAAAGAAAAGAAAAGACCAAACTAAACCCACACAAAATCAAAAGTACCCCGCAGGTGACAATAACACTTGGGCAGAAAGTAGAAGTAATTGCACAACTGAAGGACACAACAAAGCTCGCGTTTTCTTCTACTTATTTTTCACTTTCCATCAACACACTTCCTTAGCTCTCATTTCCCTTCTTCTACTTAAACTCTCGTTCCCTCTGATTAATCAGTGGATTTTTAGTCTCTTATCACTCAGGGCTTCTTTGATTTAAAGGAATTCTATAGAATTTCTGGAGGATTGAAATACTTATAGTTTTTTTCTATGTTGGCCCTTCGATTCATAGGATTAGATCCCATAGATTTTTTTCCTATGAAATCTTTTGTACTCCCTCCATTTACTTGTACAAGACCATTATGAAATATACATTTTGCATTTATACAAGACTGCTAACAGTAATTGATGCAAATATTAATGATGCTTTTTCGTGCTAGCAACTTGTTTAATACTTGCATGCATGTAGTCATAATGGCACTTAGCTACTTTTTCCACTCAGTTTTCTTGCATGCATGTAGTGTATTAGTGATCCCAGTAAATAAAAAGAAAAGCTAGATTGCAAAACACGTTTTAAATTTTACCTTGATACCTGTAATTTGACTTTGTGGCCTTTTATATAAAAATGGAGGGAGTATTACATTTTATAGGAAATCTAACGTCCACTGCAACATATTTTTACAATTTTCTTTGTTTTTTATGTGGCATCAAACACTCATTGCTAATCATATAGGCAGGGTCGTCTCCAGAAATTCGGGACCCCGGGGCGAAAATCAAAATAGGGCCTAAAATTATTTCAATTTTTTCACACGATAGAAGAACTAATATAACTAAAACAAATTCTCACTTTATTACCACTAATCAGGAACAAATATAATTCCATACTATTGCTAACTTGGCTTTATTGACAAATAAATTCATGACAAAAATTCCATGGACAATTTCAATTTCATCCTAATTGGGTCTCTGTCAACCTAATTTAGTGCCAGTCTGGAGTACCAATACCTAGCCCCGTGGACAAATAATATTAACCTACTCATCTACTCCTAACTTAGCATCATGGAGATCAAAGAGAGGGATGGGCTTAAGCAGATGAGACATGCATACCTAGTAGACTAGTACTGGAGGACTGGGGGCAGCCATGGAGGGGGAAGGCAGTAGACGACGGCGTCCTGGCCGATCCGTGGAAGGCAGTCAACAGACGACGGCGTCCTGGGCGATTGGCGGAAGCAAGCTGATCGGTGTGTTGTGTTTAGGGTTAGCGATTGATGACGCAAACATGCCTGGTCGATAGATGTATGAGGACCCGTTGACTGACTTTGCTGCTGAGTGGACCCTCTATACGCTTTTCCTAGGCCTTTGCTTAAATCATGTAAGCCTAATACTTGATAATTTGGGGGCCTCAAATTTTGAGGGGCCCTGTGCGGTCGTCCACCTTGGCCCCCTTCATCAACGAGGCTGCGTATAGGATTTAAATTGACATGCCACTCTAATCCTATACTTTTTTATTTCTACATTTTCAAAACCCTGCGAATCAAAGTGGCCCTCAACTTTCATTTTCCATCTTTAACTCCCACGAACCAGTTTAAAGAAAAAGATCCCACGAAACAAATGTAGTCTCTTCTTCTCCCTCACGCCTCGGACCCGTCTCCCTCACAGCTTTTCTTTTGCGCCCCACCTCTCCTTTCTCTCACCGGCGTGGACGCGCAGGACTACACGAACGCGCCACCGGATAACCCCGCGGCCCACCGCCGGAATACAGCTCCGTCGCTGTACCTCGCCAAGACGCCGCGTCTGCACCATAGGCTCGAGGCCTAACCCTATCCCGCTCCCCCTACACCCGGAGGAGGCCGCGACGGCGGCGGCGGCGGCGCGATGCTGTTCCAGGTGGGAGGGCAGGGCGCACGGCCCACCTTCTTCGAGATGTCCGCGGCGCAGCAGCTCCCGGCCAGCCTCCGCGCGGCGCTCTCCTACTCGTTCGGGGTAAGTGAAACACCGCCTCCTTTCCGATGCGATCATGCCCATCGATCCGGTTTGGTTGACTAGCTGCGTCTATTAGTATTGGGTGCTTATGACTGTTCGAATAATGTCTGTTCGTCCGTTACATTGTAGTGGATGACTGAGAGTGCGAGTTCTGCTTGTGTTTTATTTGCTTGGATTGAATATATGCTAGGTTTGATTGGTGAGGCCACGAAATGTAGTTAGCCAGGGAAGACAGTAATACACAATATTTGCAGCTGGAAAAGTTGCTTCTGCTGCCGCTGAAAGCCAGTATTTCGTCTTTTTAGGTTGTTTGATTAGCTGCAATGACTTGGGTAAATTAATTGCTACGTGAGAAATAGTGAAATTGGATTCACGTATTCTTTTTAGAGGGATATTGAGTTCATTTGTTGCTGAGCTGTATGCTAGGGGAACATTGCTGGGTTGTGATGTACTGTATATGTTTGACGATGAAGGGAACATCCGAACATATAACATTGTACCTGAATAATCGACTTGATAACTCAAACTAGCATGCTTGTTAATTCGAGTTAGCCACCCTGAAATCTTAGCCTTTTCTCCATCAGAATTCTCACTCATGGATCCCTACTGTTATGCAATGAGCTGAGATATACTGGCAAATAAATCCAGGTAACAATGTAGATGGTACTTAGTATAATGGCAATCTGAAAAACACCCAAGATTACCACTCGCAACAGAACTTTGAAAACGAATACATGCCGAGGCAAAGTACCAGTATCCTCTGTGCTTGTTTTCAGTTGCAGGCTCCAGGATGCACACAACTGATGGATGTGCCTATGTTTGAGAAAGTCAATTACAATTTTACTTTTGATCTTAGAAGCTAAAAATCGCATCCTTTTTCCCTCCTTTTCTGGTCACAAGAAGTTATTTTAGGATGGATTGCACATAACAAGGCAGAAAATTTGCCTTGCAAAAGATACCCTCCAAAAGCTCAAGAGACAATTTTGTTATATCAACAATAAGGGTGTTTCTCAGGCAGTTAAGTGATCTTGTACCGAGGGCTGTTTGTTAGAAAGGTGCCTAGGTATTGGAACACGACAAGTGCTATGTTTTACAAGATTTTCGTTAAAGGAACAAAGTTTTGAGTTATGACCTGTTTAGTACTTTTTTCTTAGCCAAACTTATTACTGTCTGCGTATTTGATTTTAGTTTATCATGCACCCTCTTTACAATGCTAATTAGTTGATACTATATGCAGGTTTTTGCACTAAGGAGGCCATCCTTGCATAAAGTTTTAGATTATGAAGATGAATTCTTTGCTTTGTTAATGTCTGTTCTTGAGTCCCATAGTCTACGAACAACAGGTTCGTTGTCTCTGTAGCAGAACTCCCTTATCTGTTGAAAAGGAACTTTGTTTACAACCTTCATATTTGAACAATGGAATGGTAATATAGGAATATCACGGGAAAAATGTATTATTATGTATTTAGTTTGGTGCTAATCTTCAGCTATTTATTTCTCTGCATGGTGCGCATCATTGAGAAAGAAATTACACACCACTCTCTGATAGCTGTTTAAATAAGGCTACCCACCGATCTGTTAATTCAGCCTTACATTAACCTCATCATCTCAAATCCTACTTGCAGGGTAGGTTCTTACCACTACTTTTGTTATCTAGTGTGACTATGTGGCAGAGAAGTAAACTTTTAATTCGATTAGTAGCTTCATCGTGGAGTCACCCAATCCTAGTATCGCAGAAGAATTTATTTTTGGTTGTGGAATAGAACCATGGATACAACATATTAAGGTAGAAGAATGGAGTGACTCCACCTTAAGCCTTAGCACTAACTCATTCCACAATGAAAGAAATAACTAGGACTATGCTATTTTAACCTACTTTAGCCTAGTTGTGGTAGTGCAATTGTATGATTGATAAAACAAGTCTGACAAGTTATCAACAAACAAGTAATTATATTACCAGCTTTTGCCATTAGTGATTGTGTTTGATTACAACTTTCCTGCATATATCTTTCAGATGGTTCCTTTTCAGAGTCGTTATATGGTCTCAGGCGGAGGCCTGTTAACGTTTCTGTGAACAGAAGTAGTCCTGGTGCAGAATCTAATGTCAAAGTCTATGACTCTGCACTAAGGAAGCGCCAGAAAACCCTCTCTGTTATATTTTTGGTAATGATGTCCCCTGGCAGAGATTAATTTGAAGTATTATCTTATGTTGGCTTTGCTACGTTCTGGATTTTAATAGTTTTAGTTATGCTGAATTTTGCGCTGCTACCTGTGAGCAACAAACCACCCAAGCCCTACTAAAGTGATTTCTTTTATTGAATGCATTCATTTTTTTATCTGGGATCTCATCATGTTAACACTTACAGACAAAACTCACCACATGTTAACCTCTCGTGTGATCTTGCAATGTGTATCCATAGCTGACTTGCTCACCAGGACTCCAGCAGACATCACTACCCGAGTTACTTTACCTCACTAGCAGGTCTACGACGTGAATATCCATGTGTCCTCTGCTTTAGTTACTGTCCTATGAAGACATGTACTCCCTCCGATCCAACATAAGTGTCGTGGTTTTAGTTCAAATTTGAACTAGAATCTTACTTACGAAACCTTTTATCCCAAACAAGTTGGGGTAGGCTAGATATGAAACCCTTTCACGAGGACTTCCCAGGAGGTCACCCATCCTAGTACTACTCTCGCCCAAATGGGTTTCATACCCAAAAGACTGGCTAGTTTTTACGTTGGCTCGCCAAGCCTATCACAACCCTTAGATATGAAACCCTTTCACGAGGACTTCCTAGGAGGTCACCCATCCTAGTACTATTCTCGCTCAAATGGGTTTCATACCTATGGGACTGGCTAGTTTTTACGTTGGCTCGCCAAGCCTATCACAACCCTCCTCCTTTACCCGGGCTTGGGACCGGCTATGCCTAGAAGACATAGGCGGAGTTAAATTTGAACTAGAATCACGACACTTATTTTGGATCGGAGGGAGTAATATTTAATCTGCATCTATAATACGCTGCGCTGCTGATAGTCTGCCCATGCCTGAATTGCAAGCATATTGAGCCCCAATTGCTTAATGTACTTGTTCTCAATCTGCTTGGTGTGCAACTTTATTTACTTTAGCATCTCAATGTTGAAATGTGATACTCCCTCTGATCCAAAATAAGTGTCACAGTTTTGAACTAAGGTTAGTTCAAAACTGCGACACTTATTTTGGATCTTTGGGAGTACATGCTTTACTCAAGCTCTTGTGCTATTTGAAGCTGTGATTTTCTGCTTTTACAATACAGTTCGCAAGTTTCTTCAATAGGCTATGCACATCTTCATAGATTCTGCAGTTGACAAATTTAATCATCTAGTTTTAAATTTTGTCTCGTTAAGATAAGATTGTAAATTGATCTATGAAATATGTAATGTAGTGCAATGATGAAAGTCATGAAACAGCTCTGTTTTGGACAAATTCTGCTATTAACCTGCTCCAAATATCTGTATAGGTTGTTTTACCGTATTTCAAGTCAAAGTTGCAGTCTGTATATAACAAAGAAAGAGAAGCAAGATTGCAGGCAAGCCTATGGGATCAGGGTGAGGTTAGATTCGACGAAGCTGGCTTTGTATCAGATCAACAAGGGGAGACTTCTCAAGCACAAGTTGGGACTACAGCTGGAGAAGTGTCACATCTCACACGCCTTAGGACCAATTTTGCAGCACTAATAGGTGTTTGTTATCCATGGATTCATGCGACTCATGAAGGTTGATCCACTACTCATATATATGAACATCTTGTATAAATCCTAACTTGTTTAAAGCCTTTTCTGTAGCTGATAATTTTGGAAAGCTCATTTCATCTATATTTCTCTTATATAAGACCATTAAAAGATGCCTATGAGTTTCAGTTTTGCGATTTGTTTTGTTAGTTTTGGATGACCTGCCTTTTCTTGGGTCAATCTATAACTTTGCAATGCTTGTAGACTTTATTAGTTTATCCCTTTTTTATACATTTGATGATGCGAAGTAATTGTGCATCGCTGCTCTGTCTGTTTCATTACATGGGCAACATAAATTAACTTATGGTCCTATATTGATTTGCAGGCCTTTCATTTGCTTACCAGTTGCTGTATTTGTTGGATGCTACTGCATTTTACAGTCCAGGACTTCATGTGCTTGGGCTTCATGTTTGTCGTGCTACTGGACAAGAGCTGGTATAATACTTACCAATTTCCATTAGAGCGTATATTACTGGTTAGCATGTAGCGCAACATATACGGAACCATACTTCTGAGCTTATTATCATGATTCATACATTATGTCTAATCTTTTGCATTGAATTTTCCTTACCGATAACAGCCTTTTTTAAAATCAAAACAGCATTTACCATTCCATATTAAGAGATGACAGAAGCATTTACTGTTTCCATATTAGGAGATGACAAAATCTCATGAGATGAAAAAAACATTTACTGTTTCCATATTAGGAGACGACAAAATCTCATGAGATGAAAACAGCATTTACTGTTTCCATATTAACACATGGTTATTCTGCTGAGATGCTTCCTCTTGCCTTTTCTTGACAAAGTAGATGGATTCATCTTCTAGGATATCAAGAATTAGAAGTCGTGAACTCGAGAGACTTCGTGGTCCTCCATGGTTAAAGGTAGGAAATGACAGACACTACTCAATAGCGGGATTTTCTTACAAGTATGAATTGTCTAGTCATAATTTATAACAAGATTATTTTTATATGATCTCTGCAGACTGTCCAGAGGGTGCTCCTTAATTGTACGTACACGACTCTAGATTATGCACAAACTGGTTTAATTGCTGCGGTCTTCTTTTTCAAGGTCAGTTCAAACTTCTTCCCTAGGAATTCAAGAGGTTAAAAAATCTTTCAAGGTTCTGTCACTCGTATAAACTTTCTTTACAGGCGGACAGTTTAGGTAGAATGGAATAGTAGTCCTGGCATGTGGTTTCTCTTAACGTCTTTTAATGTGTAATTTCATGTTCTTCCTGCGGTAGATGCATTGTGATGCTACTGCATTTTACAGTCCAGGGCCGCACTAAATGTTCTCTTTCTGGTGATCTTATCTAGATGATGGAGTGGTGGTATCAATCTGCTGAAGAAAGAATGTCAGCTCCGACTGTATACCCCCCACCTCCTCCGCCGCCGCTACCAAAGGTATATGTGGTATATACTTGTAAATGTTTGCAAGAAAGCTACTACCATTCTCTGGCATCGACACCAACTTTTGATCTGAACCATGGATGCCATCATAAGTCTTAGTTTTGCAACTATGCTGTTGCCTGTTGTCTGTGTAGTACACTTGTAATTATTTACGGCAGCAGTTTGATATCGTGCTCTTATAACTTTCATCAGGTTGCTAAAGATGGACTTCCCTTGCCAACTGACAGGACGCTGTGCCCTCTGTGCTGCCAAAAGCGCAACAACCCGTCTGTTCTTTCTGTTTCTGGTTTTGTGTTCTGCTACAGTTGCATATTCAAGTCTGTCTCTCAGGTAGATATTCTCCTAAACCAGCCATTAGAAGCTGTCATTTTTTATGTGTTCCAAATCTGTAATGTGACATTGTCGGTTGTTTTACTTCAGCATAAAAGATGTCCCGTGACGTTGATGCCTGCCACTGTTGAGCAAATCAGGCGCCTCTTCCATGATTTATAGCTTGAATAGGCGCAGTTCAACTAAAGGAAGTAGCTTATATGGGCTCAAGGCTGCTAGGGACTCTGGGGCGAGAAGAAGCTTTTCCCGCATTCCTGTTGATGCAGAGATCACACGAGATACAGTTTCTGCTTCACGTAATATCCATATAGCTCTTGTGCCATTTTTGTTGCTTGTTGGAACTTCAACAGAGATTTAGACCATGTAATA